ATAAGATTGCATAATTCACAGTGTTTGGTGGAAGAGAGAGGAGGAGAGGGAAGAGAGAGAGAGGAGGGGAAGGAGAGGGAGAGAGGGAAGAGAGAGAGAGGAGGAGGAGGAAAAAGAGAGTTGTCCTGTACAGGGTTGGTGACGCCACCAGCCTGGTTTATGAGTCTTCTGTGGCAAATGTTTTCCCCATCATGCCAGGAAAGGTAGGTAGAGAAGAGTGGGCGTGTGAGTGAGCGGGCGTGTGGGTGGGCGGGCGTGCATGGAAGGGCGGGCGTGAAGTTGTAGCATGAGGAAAGGTCAACACGAGGAGGAGGAGGAGGAGGAGGAGGAGGAGGAGGAGGAGGAGGAGGAGCAGCAGCAGCAGCAGCAGCAGCAGTAGCAGGAGCAGGAACAACAACAGCAGCAGCAGGAGCAGCAGCAATTGTAGCAGCAGCAGGAGCAGCATCAGCAGCAGCAGCATCAGTAGTACCAGTAGTACCAATAGTACCAGTAATAGCAGCAGCACCAGTAGTACCAATAGTACCAGTAATAGCAGCAGCACCAGCAGTAGTAGCAGCAGCAGCAACAACAACAACACCAGCAGCACCACCACCAGTAGGAAGAATCACAAGTTTGAAGACACATGAATCCCGCGGGCACTGTTTTCCTGGGACCTCCATGTCGTCACGATGGTGGGAAGGAGGGAAGGAGAGTGGCAGGGAGAGCTTGGGTGAGGGAGGGAGGGGGGTGTGAGTAAAGAGAGATAACAGGAGGAAGAGGATGAGGAGGAAGAGAAGGAAGAAGAGGGAGAGAAGAAACATGGTGATTGACCTTAAAATATTTTCTCTGCTCTATCCTCTAATTTCAAGTTAATATTCTTTAAGGTAATATTCCTCAGCTTCGGTACCATTATTATTAAGAGCGTATGTACTTTGGTGTCAGCACATTCATCGTCGGGTGTACAATGTAAAGAACAATACACGAAGAACAATACACAAAGAACAATACACAAAGAACAATACATAAAGAACAATACACAAAGAACAATACACAAAGAACAATACACAAAGAACATACACAAAGAAATACACAAAGTAAATACACAAAGAACAACACAAAGAACAATACCTAAGACAATACCACAAAACAATTTACCAAAGAACAATACACAAGTGAACAATACACAAAGACATAACACAAGACTACACAAAAACATACACAAAGGAACACATACAAAAGACATACACAAAGACAATACACAAAGAACAATACACAATGATACATACACGAAACAATACACAAGAACAAATACACAAGAACAACACAATACCGTTCATAGCGAGAGAAGCTTGTGACGACCTTTCAGTCCCACTTGCACCATTTACAAGTCACACTAACATAAGAGTTATTGTGACTTGTAAATTAGCCAAGTCAGACCGAAACGTCGTCGTAAGCTTCTCTCCTATTTGCGGGTTATTTGAGTGATGTAGTGTGTGTTTCATACTAGTTCTGTGTAACACATGTCATACTAGTGCTGTGTACAATGTCTTGTGCTGTGTAACACATGTCTCATACTAGTGCTGTGTAACACATGTCATACTAGTGCTGTGTAACACATGTCATACTAGTGCTGTGTAACACATGTCATACTAGTGCTGTGTAACACATGTCTTTACATATCTGTGTAACACTGTCATATATGCTGTGTAACACATGTCTTTACAAGTGTAGACCGAACGTCGTGTAACACATGTCTACTATGCTGTGTTATTTGAGTGATGTAGTGTGTGTTTCATACTAGTTCTGTGTAACACATGTCATACTAGTGCTGTGTAACACATGTCATACTAGTGCTGTGTAACACATGTCATACTAGTGCTGTGTAACACATGTCATACTAGTGCTGCGTAACACATGTCATACTAGTGCTGTGTAACACATGTCATACTAGTGCTGTGTAAACACACGTCATACTAGTGCTGTGTAACACATGTCATACTAGTGCTGTGTAACACACGTCATACTAGTGCTGTGTGCTGTGTAACACATGTCATACTAGTGCCGTGTGCTGTGTAACACATGTTATACTAGTGCTGTGTGCTGTGTAACACATGTCATACTAGTGCCGTGTGCTGTGTAACACATGTTATACTAGTGCTGTGTGCTGTGTAACACATGTCATACTAGTGCCGTGTGCTGTGTAACACATGTTATACAAGAATGTCACAAATTGGGTCTTCAAAGACTTAATTTTTTTTACTGTGGTTTCGTAAGGACACTCTTTAAGTTCTCCAGTCTAGCCTCTGCTGCATAAACTGTTTCTACTCTTTCACACAGCCGGCAATATGCTCTGTGCTAGGTGTAAGCTTTGCTGTTAGGGGGTCCGTCCCCCCCCCCACAGTCTGTACTCTTATTTTCAGTTGTCTTTCCCCTTTCCCAATTTACATAACTTTACATTTGCTGGGATTAAATTCCAGTAGTCAAATACCTGACGATCACTGAAGTCTTTTTTCAAGGCCATATTGTACCTTTTCCACTCACCTCTTGTTATTTTCCACATTCATTTCACCTCATCTACAATAAAAGATAAAAAGGACTGTTATCTATCCTGGTCTTCTCGCTTTTCATTCACCTAAAGGAGAAACAATACTTGTGGTTGTACCGATCCTTGAGGAGACCCACTCATTACACTTTTCTATTTTGTGACCTACCAGACTTTCCATGTTATCCTCGTATACTCTCATAGGTGTTACTCTAGTCATTTGTGGGCTACATAATAAAATTTCTTCTTCAAATTAAAGATTACTCGGTTCACTCGTCTCCCCCCCTCCCTCGCTCTCTCTCTCTCTCTCTTTTTCATAGAACTGCAAGTTACTGAGACAGCATTTATCGTCTTTAAATACGTGTTGATGGCTGTTTATGAAACAACTTTTTTTGTAAACTGTCTGTGGAGTCTGTTTCCTCAACTTCATCCTTTCCCTTCCCAAGCACAGTCAAACTAAATAATTTAACACAACCCTCTGCCTCATTTACGTCCACCCTTAAAAACAACCTGATTCTGCTCCATTGCATTCCAATTTACTCAGTCAGTACTTCACTGAACGAGTGATTTACTGTGAATTGTAGAGTAAAGTATATCCACTGGACACTCGTTTTCAGTTCCTGCTTCAAGGTTTTTCTGACCTTCATGTGTTGCATTTATCGGCTTCACTGAATGGAATAGGTTATTTTTTTCCTTAGACGATGATAGCCTAATCTGATCTAATCTTTGCTTAATGGGGCATGATCCCCTCTTTATAAATGGGTAGAAAATACTGAAAAATATCGAAAATCTGAGAAACTCTCTAAAAATTCTTCTAAGTGGGAGCAACAACTGAGTCTTCATCCAGTATTATTCTGACAGTTCTTCCCCTCAAGGAAGGTTCCTTGATGCTGGTGAGGGCTCTTGATCTAGGGAATTGGATCTGTGCTCCAGTTCCCTGAATTAAACCTGAATACCTTCCACATCCCTCCACAGGTGCTGTATAATCCTACGGGTTTAGCGCTTCCCCCTTGATTATTATAATAATCTGACAGTTCTTAGTGCCTCCTTTTTTTACCCATGCTGAAAATTACGTTTCATGACGTTCATGGGAGTTCGTGTGTACGAGGTGTTAGTGAGGAGCAGCAGCGCCTCACCTGACTCCTGGCTGACTCCTGGCTGACTCCTGGCTGACTCCTGGCTGACTCCTGGCTGACTCCTGGCTGACTCCTGGCTGACTCCTGGCTAACTCCTCCAGCATAAAACAGACAAATAATCTGCGTATAGGAGAATGGAACTCATGACGACGTTTCGATTGTACTTGGACCACTAACTAGTCCAGGTTGACCGAAACGTCATAATTCGAGCCGAAGCGTCACCGTAAGTTTCATTCTCCTTTGTGAAGGTTATTTGTGTATTGTTCCTGTCACGGTATTATACCTTCTTATTCTTTCCAGCATAAAGACATCATTTATGTCGACCGTATTATCGGCGATGTCTGGCAAGTTTTGTAGCAATCTATATCGATCTGTCGACTATATTTTTGTATATGTGATAAATACATGACTGTCCTAAATCCCTAATATTAAGGGATCCCCAAAATTATTCCTAGTTTCTTGTTGCGTATTTATAAGCAAGGAATTCTTGCGTAACTTTTAATAATCGAGTTTCAGGATTTTTTTTTACGCTGATTTAACCAATAACAACAACTGGGAAGCTGTACAGAATCTTAATTTTCTATTGCTGTCAATTTCTAAAGCTTATTTTTCAGAGTTTTTACCTGTTTTTTTTTTCAATCAGTTTGTTGAGGTTGAATTCAATCACCTGTTTATCTTATTTTTTCTTTGTATGTGTGTTTGTTACCAGTCGATTGACATTTGGTCTGTGGGGTGTGCTCGCTGGGGTTGGGTCACAGCTCCTGGGCCCGTATCTTCGCCGGTCGTTGCTTGATCCACTTTCTCCAGTTTGTTCTACTTCATGACAACTCTAAGGCTGAAGAAATACTTTCTAACATCTCTGTGGCTCGTCTGAGTTTTCAACTTCCAGCTGTGATCTCGTGTTTCTGTTTCCCATCTCTCAAACGCTGTCATTTCCACCTTGTCAATTCCTCTCAGTATTTTGTACGTCTTTATATCCCACCTAGTCCTCCTGTCATCTAGTGTCATCATAGAACATATCTCTTAGCTCCGAGACTAGTCTTGTTGCAAACCTCTGCACTTTCTTCAATTTCTTGATATGCTTGACTAGGTGTGGGTTCCACACTGGTGCTGCATACTCCAATATGAGCCTGACGTACACAGTGTAGTGTCGTGAATGACTCCTTACTTTGATTTCCAAAACTGTTCCTAGATTTGCCAGACGCGCATTTGCTGCAGAAGCTATTTGGTTGATGTGCGCCTCGGGTGATATGCTCACTATAATACACACCCCAAGGTCCTCCACATGTGAGGTTTTAGCCTTTCCCCTCTAGCCTGTGCTCCGTCAGCGGTCTTCTTTGCCC